TAACAGACATTGTAGTATTATTTGTGATGACAATAGTTTCTCCAATAATTAAATACTAGATCAGTTATTCTAAATTTAGTTCTTTATAATTATTCCGGTTGGTAATTTGGGGTAGATGCTATTGATCATTTGAAATTATTTTTTTGAAAACTTAGTACTTTTGCTAAATTTTGTTTTCCTTCGGTTTTGTCGAGGCAAGTACTTCATTATAAAAAACCCGATTACTGTTTAAATTACAGTAAAGTCCGCTTATAGTGAACTTTCGGTTAAAACGAACTTTTTTCCATTAATTGAAACGTCATCCATAAAGACCAACGTATTTTTTTACTGGTTATAAGGAACCCGTTTATAACGAACTTCCGGATATAACGATCACTTTTTAGGATAGTTGTATATTCACTTTCCGTTTATAACGAACTTCCACGCTCAGCAACACCAATCCTGCGAAGTTGTTTATATTAGTGAGAACGAGAGACAGGCAGTGACTTGTTGTTTTTTGCCGCGTTATGTATGTAAATCGTTTTAGAATGGAAAAACAAAAACGCAAAGTTTTTTCACTAAATGAAAAGCACGAGATTATTAACAAAATACAAAGTGGAGTAAAGCAGAGTGACATTTGTAAGGAATTAGCACTTGGAAAGTCTACTGTTGCAACAATATGGAAAAACAGAGAAAACATTTTATCAGCGTATGACAAACCAAATGTTAAATGTAAGAAGTTAAAATTATCTGCACATGAAGAGGTTGACAAGGGACTTATTAAGTGGTTTACTCAAAAAGGACAAGAAAACGTTCGCATAAGTGGCACTGTTTTGCAAGAAAATGGGGAGTAAAATCCAAAACAGATGCAGTCAATTTCATTCATAGAGCTTGGCAAAAAGTTAGCCGAAAAACCATTGCAAATTGCTTTAAGCATAGGGGATTTGTAAAAAAGGAAAATGATTATGAACCAGACGATAAAATTCCACTTAACGAATGGTTAGAAAAGTATAAAGACTCAGACTCCGAGTACGACACAGACGAAGATGTCCCAATGTTGTCGAAGAACAAGTTAAAACCAAATTGAGTGATTTCAATTTCTTCGAAGATGTGAGCATTGATAATGGCATTCTTACAAGAGAAATGTTGACCGATGAGCAAATTATAGACTCCGTAACCTCATCTACAGCTTTAAGCGATAATGAGAAAGATGCCGATTTAGGTGAAACGTATTCTACTGTAGACACTAATGCTGTTCCAACCATTTCTGAAATGACAAAAAAAGTGTCCGAAACTCGGAATTTTCTACAATCACGCAAAGTTCCTAATCATATCTGGGAGTTCTTTTGTGATCTTGAAAACTACATAAATAACATCTATTTTTGCAGCAGAAATGTACAAACAAAAATTACAGACTTTATAAAGTAAATTTTAAATTGAATTTTGTTTATCTTTTTGTGTTCTTCTTAGTCATACCTACTAACTTCTACTACTCTATGTAAAAATAACGAAATAAAATACACCACGTGTTTTTGTATTATTATTCGTTTATAGCGAACTCCGGATATAACGAACCAGTTTTAGTTCATATTTCAAGTTTGTTATATCCGGACTCAACTGTATATACATTTTAACTTTCCGCTGTAGGTCCTAGCACTAGGCGGCTTGCAATACATCAGCACAGTAGGTTTAATCTTTTTAGGCCTTAAAATAAAGAGAGGTTATAGGGTTGGTAACCGTTTTTAACGGAAAGTTTGAAAGACATTTACCAAATACCCAAATATGCGAAGGAAGGAAAGGCCAACAAATTAAGAGCGCCATCACTTAGAAAATTCGCAATTCAATCAAAGAAACTTTTGTTCTATACGCCGCACTTATTATTCAGGTCAAAACTTGGGCTTGCAAGAACAATTACTGAAAATACTATTAAGAAACTGAACTGCGGAAAATTCGATTACGTATCTACAGAAACTAAAAAACATCGAACTCTTCTACCAATAGAAATAAAGTTTTCCCTTACCTCATAACATGTTATTGCTCAGCTTCCAATAAATGAAAGAGTTTGGAAAATTTATTGCCCCTCAAACTTGTTAGCTCTATATGATCTCGTCAAGTATTCTTACGTTACATTAAATAAGTGAAGTGCCACTTCAGATAATCTTTAGCCGTCCACCGGAGGGAGTTTTCTAATAATTTTGTGTATTTTGTACGAATTTTACTGCCGTTAGGCATTAGGGCTTCTAAAAATTGTCCGTAGAATTTAGAGATAATTTATAATCACCATAGAACAATAGACGCGTTTGACAAAATGAATGCAAAATTTCACGTAAATAAACTCTTAAGATTTCATACAGAGTGTCGGGAAATTAAAATGCAATACATTACACTGCAAATATAAATATGGGTTTGCAATATCTTTTGTCGCCACATATGAATGTAGGCCTTTAGTCCTTGATATCCATAACAATTTGAAGACATTTTAAAGCCATTTTCACAACGTTGTTACTCTAAGCCGATACTTCAAATTTTAAAATAAAAACAGGTCTTCATCGACTTGAAACAAATAATAATATATGCATGAGGCAATGAGCGAAAGAAAGTCATTTAAATGTGGCTGGTTATGACACAGAATAGCTACGCGAGAATTTCCAAGATATGGCCATTCGCTTGAAGAAGCCCAGTAAATGGTAAACGGAAAAAATACAAATCGCCTGACCCTCGTATCTGTACGATGGGTTCCACTACCTACCGGATAAAATACAATATTTTAAGTAAGAAAATAACGCACTGTTATTGCGACTGTGGTTTTAGTTTTAATTACGACAAAATGTGAAAGTTGTTAGCCGAAGCACAACAACATTGCTTCGGTACCTGTGTACGATATAATAATTCGCCTATCCGATTAAAATATGCAACAACGTCTTTTTCTGTTTACTAATTTTACCGTTGTCTAGAATTTTCTGGCTTTTTTCCAACAGTCCGCAGCCACAGTGTCTTATCTAATATTGTTTTTGGGGATTTATGTACCATTTCAGCGGCAATATTTACGTGTTTGCCTTCTTTACACCGGGCTCATATATGTATAAGGTTTTTTAAACAAAAAACTTGTTTAATTTTGAGCAAAAGATTAAAAAGAGATGAAGTGGAAGCCTTGAAGTTTTTCAGGCTGTTGCGTATTGGTGTTGTGGTAGTAAAGAAAAAAAATATGCGCTTTTTACCAAGTGGCTTGAAAACATTAAGTTAAAGCCTTGATTTTTTTTTAAGATGCTGGGTATCTGATTTTTTTTGTGAATACTTCCGTTGTGATGTTTGACAAATACAAGTTCCGCTCTTCTGATAAAACATTTTTATTTACTTCTTCGGGCCTTTTAAGCCATAAGAAGAAAGTAAACTTTTTCAAAAGCTCGGTAAAAAGCTTTGTTTGTGAAGATCCCAGCAGGCCGAATCCTAATATCTTCAATTTAAAACTCCAAATATTTAAACAAAAAACTATTTAATTTTGTTGCAAAATATTTGGAAAAATTAAGTTCAAGGTTGGATTTGTTTAAGATATTTAAAATCTGATTTTTCAAAAAAAAAAATTTGCTTCTTCTGGCTTAACAGTCCCAACTTAAAAGACACTCGGTAAAAAACTCAAAGTTTTCATTTTTGAAAACTCCAATATTACCCAATATTATTGGTGATGTTTTCCTAACAACGATATTACCTTTCAATGTCAACATCAATGGCTACCATCGATGTTAGAGGATCGATGTCCCATCCCTACCCAATATCTTCCCTATCAAGCAACAACTTTTTATCGATTTAATTTTGAGCAAAATATAAAAAAAATGTGTTTTAACTTAGCTTTATACTTGACTTTTTTTGAAAATATTGCGAATCTGATTTTTTTTTGAAGATCTGTTGTGGTCGTCAGAATAATAAAGTGTGCGTTTTCAATCACGTTTTCGAAAATTTTTATTTCCTCATTTTCGGGCCTTCTAAGCCAGAGCAGCCAAAAGCTTGAAAAAAGCTCAAAGGTTTTTTTTTAACTGGAGACAACAACGGTCCCACGCTAGATAGCTTCAAGCAAAAACTCGAATTCTTTAAACGAGAAACGATTTAATTTTTTTAAGTTAAACATTTTCTTGAAGCCTTGATTTTTTTTTTAAGATATCGGGTATATTATTTTTTTGAAGATATCTGTAGAGATCTTCAGAAAACAACATTTCTGCCCCAGAAGAAGGAACTAAGACCGATGTCAAATATGTTGAAAAAATTGGTATTCAATTTTTTTAATTGGGTATCGGTTTGTGATGGTCTTCTGATGAGATAAAAAATGACTTCTGATCTGATCAAGCTTCCGAAAAGTCAGCAGTCCCAAAATAGTAAACATCGTGCAAATTTATTAGGGGTAGATTTGAAATGGTTCTATTTCATTTTGGAAATTTTCGAAAATTCTTTATCTTTAACCCATTTAAGAACGTGACTAAATTCCTGCCGGCAAAGAAAAATTTCCAAAAATATTAAATATATTTACATACGCATGGATGACTGAAAATGAAAAAATCTACTGCATAATTTACTGGAGGAGACAAATTGTAATTGGACTTCCAAAAATAACGGGTAATTGCCAATAAAATAATTTGGCTTTTTTCCCATGTTTGTCTATAGTCGAAAGCGTTGGCTGCTGGTGAGTCGACAACGCGATTTTTTTCCAATTCCGAGGACCAGAATTTTTCGAATATTTCAACATTTGACCTTTAATCGGTAGGTACCAAACAATATATCGACCTTGCCCGCATTATATTCAGTCGACACCGATAAATAAGTTTTTAGCTTTGTTTTAAGGATAACTTACTAATCTGTGCCATAAAATTGCTGTAAAGATTGACGTGCCTAGGCCAACATTAAATTGTCTGCATATGTTTTTTGGGCGGAACTTTCCAAACTCGCCAGTTTTCAACAGCGTTTGGCCAAGGAAGTTTTTTCCTCAAGGGCTACTTGGGTATAAAAAGCGTTTGCAATATGTTGTTGCTTACCTTGATCTATTTGCTTTCAGCAAAGGATTCTTGCGAAATGATCCAATCATGATGTCCTCGCCCTGATGGGGGCGATATCCAGAGGACTGCAAAAGTGTACTGGAGAAGATTCATATGTGGCTACGAGGCGTTTTTATGCTACTTTCGAGCGGCACTGAACAAGTCGGTACATAAACAGTGAAAAGTCTGGTCGATTATTCCAAAATCCTTAAAAATAATTCCACTTTTGTAACTTGGCCTGGATCCTCACTAAAGCAGATTCATGCAGTTGCAGCAACTATTCCGGTCTACGGTTCATTTATTGATCCGTTGAGAAGCACTGTTGCAGGATTTTCAAAAAATTATATCACTTTTTTGAAAATATTCTCTACCCTAAATAGGTTGCACGAGATTGCGCATGCTTAGACGGTAACGAACACTGCACATGCGCACTAAACACAGCGCGAATTAGAAAACAGGAAGCTGTTGCGAACTGAAAAAAGACTCCACAGACACCAATGAACGAAGAACAGGTTCAGCTGCACCACAAATGGGGTCACGCTGGCTTAAGCCGTTTGTGTGGATATCACATGCTTACGCCCGGATCTCGAATTATCGATGCGATATCGACGAAAAGTCCGTACCCGGAGGACCGTTAACAACTTGTCCTTGGCGGAGGCGGCGTGGCCCCTAAGAATACTGATCGCGAGTGACGGGTTGATTTCTTGCAGCCGAAGAATTTGCGCTCTTGATGGCCATTAGTTTTCCTTTCGCTTTTCGACTACAGTCTCGGTGATCGGAGCAGTGGTCACCGTAAGAGAGATTTTAAATCAAATTATGATTAAATCATCACTGATTATTTGATAATAGCTGGCATTTTCATTATGGCTTCCAAGATGATCGAATGATCGATGTTCATTTCAACAGGCTGCCGTCTACCATTTCATCTATACCAGTTTAACATATAATCGTTTTGATTTAAAAGCCATATGTCTTGCACCAAATGAAAGCCTGCGCATATCCGGGTATTGACCACTTTGACACCATTTAGGGTGATTGGATGGTCAAACATTGTTTTATCTAGTTATTATCGCTGATTTATCTACAGTAGAATGGACAACTTTGCTGAACGAAAACAATTTCTAGTCTAGTCGACCGGATTCAACACTTATCAGCGCATTCTCTTCCAAAATGAACATGAACTCAACTCGCTCAAAATTCCTCAAATTTATACCAGTTATATTGCCAGGAATTGAGGACTCCAACAATCTCAGAAGTGAGAGACTCTAACAGTCTGTATATGAATGCGAGCTTTGTACTTGTAAAACAATACATTGAGGTAAAAACGCACATGTACCTATTCAATTTTTGGGGGAAAATTTGGAGAAAAGTAACTGTATATTTGCGCAACACACCTAAATTTTCCGAAAATGCCTCAAATTCTACATCATTTTCCTTACAGGGAAGCGAGAAATTCAAAGGGCGTTTTAAAAAATACACTACGCGCTGCTGATCAGAAATAATGGATAATTTTGACAAATTTAGGCAATTTCAAAGTCGCAGGATCATTATTACAGGATCAAACAATGGGGCTTTTTGGGTCTAAAGCTTTAAAGCTCAAAAAGCACGCATATAAATTCGATTTTTGGCAGCAAATTTTCCAAGGGTAGAGGTCAATTTGATGAAAAAATATGAATTGCCTCAGGCTCTACAGCGCTCTCATTTCGAAAAAGGGAAAAATGCAAAAAACTCAAGGAAAAACGCGCTAGAAGCTTTACATCCGAACTAATCGACATTTTAGGCCCCTTAGCGGTTTTGACCGTTTACGCTCCTTAACCGACAATGCCTTCTTTATTATTGACCGAAACACTTCATAAATGCGTTCTTATCTCCAGAAAGCGAAAAATGCAACAAATTCGCGGAAAACGCGCTAGAAGATTTACATCCGAAATAATCGACATTTTCGGTCCATCTTCAGCGATTTTGAGCTTTTACGATCCTTAGCCGACAATTTATTCCTTATTATTGACTGAAACACTTGATAAATGTACATTTGTGAGCTTCTGACGGTGAAAGGAATCGATTGATATAAAAAAATACGCTTGTAAAATTTTAACTTTTGCTTTTTTTTGAAAATTTTTGAGGGGTAGAGGTCGAATTTATGAAGAAATATCAAATCTCTCAAAATGCCTGAAGCTCTACAGCACTTATCAGACTCTACAGCATTCTCACTCCAAAAAGCTAGAAATGCAACAAATTAAAGGAAAAATGTGCTGGAAGCCTTTACATCCGAAATAATCGACATTTTCGGCCCATCTTCAGCGGTTTTGAGCTTTTAACCGACAATTTATTCCTTATTCTTGAACGAAACACTTCATAAATGTACATTTGTGAGCTTCTGACGCTGAAAGGAATCGATTGATCTAAAAAAATACGCTTGTAAAATATTGACTTTCGCCCGAAAATTTTTAAGGGGTAGAGGTCAAATTTATGAAGAAATATCAAATCTCTCAAAATGCCTGAAGCTCTACAGTACTTATCAGACTCTACAGTATTCTCATCTCCAGAAAGCTGGAAATGCAACAAACTCAAGGAAAAATGTACTAGAAGTTTTCATCCGAAATAATCGACATTTTCGGCCCATCTTCCGCGGTTTTGAGCTTTTAACCGACAATTTATTCCTTATTATTGAACGAAACACTTCATAAATGTACATTTGTGAGCTTCTGACGCTGAAAATAATCGATTGATATAAAAAAAACGCTTGTAAAATTTTTACTTTTGCCCGCAAATTTTTAAGCGGTGAATTTTATGAAAATATATAAATTATTTCAAAATGTGTCAAATTCAGCAGCGTTCTCATCTCCAGAAAGCTAGAAATGCAACAAATTCAAGGAAAAATGTGCTAGAAGCTTTACATCCGAAATAACCGACATTTTCCGCCTATCTTCAGCGGTTTTGAGCTTTTAACCGACAATTTATTCCTTATTATTGAACGAAACACTTCATAAATGTACATTTGTGAGCTTCTGACGCTGAAAGGAATCGATTGATCTAAAAAAACGCTTGTGAAATTTTTTCTTTTGCCCGCAAATTTTTAAACGGTGGATTTTATGAAAATATATAAATTATTTCAAAATGTGTCAAATTCAACAGCGTTCTCATCTCCAGAAAGCGAAAAAACCAACAAACTCACGGAAAAACGAGCTAGAAACTTTACATCCGAAATAAGCGACATTTTATTCCTTATATGTAATTGAAAAACTTCTTTTTATTTTCAAGGGAGCGAGGAATGCAACTAAATCATCTAAAAACACGCTAAGTTGCAAATCTCACTTGTATAATTAACCACTTTTGGCTTGTTTCGATAATGGTATATTTGTCTACGAGAAGAAACATATTCCCTTAAAAAATTAGGAAACAATCCGGAATATGATAATGGAAAAGGAGAGTTAGAGAAAGAATCACAGGTGCATTATGAAAGGTCGCTTCTAGGTATTGAAACAATCAATACTATCCTTAAATAAAAGCGGAAAAATAACCGAAACAAGACTTTTTTCTTATACTATGCTCACTGTAGGGAAGAATCCAATGTTTCCACAAATAAAAGCAACCCTCCATAATACTCCTGTAGTGCTTTATAATCAAAACTAAATGGTTTGATTCAGTTTTTTATTTCCGAAACATACTGATGAAATAAAAATTCAATACTCATACAGACGACTGAAGTTGTCGACCAAATCGCAAATAAAAAATGTTTTTGTCTAAAAAACAAACCAGTTTTTCTCAACGCATATAATTTAAAAAAACGTTGACATAACTTAATATGATGAACACCAAAAGTAAAATGCAACTAAAATAACATTTGTTTGCGTGATTAAAAACTTGCCAGAATATGTATTAGGCAATTCAATTTCTCGATTTTTAAACTTCTCGTTCTTGCGTATTTTTCAAGACCATTTTCATACAACTTACTTTAGTACCGTGGTTTACGGCGTTATCTTCTTTACCTTTTCTAAAAAGAATCAGTTACTGATAAAAAAATAATTGTAATGAATTTATGGAAAACCTTCTAAAAGGAGGAAAATTATGTCAGCTTTAACAGACACGTTAATAACGAAATTTAAAGAGAATGTTCTGTAAAAAGACAGTTCATAAAAAGAACGGTATGAATACATCTTTAAAATACATAAAGAGAAAACTATTTAGAATTTAAAAAATGATTATAGGGAGTATACAATAGATTAGATAAAATTCACACTTTTTCTTACTTAATGATAGACAATCATCCCGAAAAGTAAAAAAAATTAAAGAATCGGAATTACTATTTACGGAATTAACGGAATTACTAATACCTAGCCTTCATGTAGATACATGAACAATCGTGATCGTCGTATCCCAGTTTCCGTGAATGCTTGAAAACTTCATTAGCTGCTGAAGTAAGGATCAAGGGTTGCATTAATTCATCCGACAATCCCAGAGCTAAACGAAAATCTTTCTGCATGTTTTTAATAGACTGTTCCACCTGAAAAGTTATTTATTTATTTATAATGATAAGATATATATATATATATACATATAAGATAAAGAACGCATTAAATTGATCAACCTATTGTTTTCATAAGAAAAAGTATGGATATGACGAAAACTACTAAAATCAGAATGGTTACAATCAAATATCCTTTGACATTTTTACAGTGACAGTTTGGTTTGTGGAATAATTCTCATAGATCAGAATTGTTTTGATTCAAACCATAATGTATAAGTTCGATTATTCATGTTTAACGTTGTTTGTTCAACTCGTTTATACTTGAATCTCCCTTATTTAAATCGTACATACATGAACAATAAATCATTAATATTTTCTTAATTTCTATTCACCTGTTTGAAGTCTTTATCGACGATCTTATTCGCTTTCTTCCTTAGATAGGGAGATGACATATTGGTCATGTTGAAAATGTTGATTATGTCTTTTCCTGATATACCGCAACGGTCCGCCAAAACTAAACATTCAGCCAATCCAACGAGAGAAATGCCTGGGAAACAAGAAAATTACAATAGGTATCAATAAATATTAAAACGCAGATAAAAACAATTGAAGAAACATCATTACGAGATTTTTTCAAATATAAACTAGACTTTTTGCATTCAATTTGATAATTCTGTCTGTCCACTTCGGCTTTACCATTATGCAGAGAAATTTCCTGTTGTTAATTATAAGAATCTGTCTATTAGATATTATTTTCTTGAAAATTTTCAAAAAATACCAGTTCCGGTTCAGCCCCAGCGCACTTGGATAAATACAAAATCCCTGACAATTTAAAGCCTCTATTATTGTCTAAATTTTTGTTTTGTTATTAGTAATCTAGACTTACCTTGCATGAGTTGCATAATAAGATAAACTTTGCTGGCAACTCCGACTTCTCCCAAATAAAGTGAAGATTTGCTGATGGCCTGGAAACAGCTCTGGCAGTCTATGAATAGACTGTTGTCTCCCGCAGTTAAAACAAGCAGCGTACCATCAGCAGCCTCATCACGACTGCCTTGAAGCTGAGCTTCCAAATATCTATAAATCGCATTGTTTCAAGTGTTTAATTATTAACAGGACTGACAAAAATTACCTTCCTCCTTTGGCGTGGATGTATTCACTAAGTTTGAGTGAAGTATTGGGATCGATTCCTGTCATCTCAACGAACCCTTTCCCATTTAAATTCTCACAGTCGTGGGTGACACCGCAATTATCACTTACGTTCTGCAAAATTGGTACAGATTAAAAATATAGAAAAAGTAGAAATTATGAAATTAATTCTGTTCGCTTTAAAAGAGTGGATGTTTTACCTTTTGGGCAGTTTCTGGATCAGAGCAGCAGTTGAACACAATGTCCGATTCGCTCATCACATCGCATGGAGCCACACATACGTTCACCTGGCCTTCATTAACTTCGTCCACTTTTTCCTTCAGCTTGTAACACTGCAAAAATATCACCATTATTATAATTATCACTGATAAAATTTCATAAATTTACGTATGCAAAGCGGACATTTTATAGGTAAATAATTAAGCAAGACCTATAGGTTTTACTACCATAGTAAGCATCAAATTAAGTGTTGGCTAGTTTTGGGCCTTAATCGATTTAATTTACATTTTTTGAAGACCACTTATGGCTTTTGCTTCCCTACTTTCTACTTAACTGTAAAAATTACCAACCTCTCAAATTAATCGCAAATGCGCCCAGCTGAACAAATGAAGAAAGAATAAATGTAAAAAAAAAAACGAACTATTTAGTGACATTTTTACATTCACCTAACGTGCTCCTGCACCACCTGGCGATAGTGAATGTATTTTGGACTTTTGCTCTCCATAATTTGAACCACTTTTATAACAATTTCGTTCCATTTCTCATTAACTAGTTGTCGATTATTTTATGCACATACAAGTATTATGATGAAATCTTTCATTTGGCAACAAATTGGCTTTCGAATTGGCCATTAAAGTCGCTTCGGGGCATGAGCAGCGCTTCTTGGACTAGATTTACTGGTAAAAGACGCATTGGGAAATTAAATAATTTAAGTTGCCAAATATAAAATTACTAAGTATTCATCAATTTTTTTCTATAAGAGTTCAACAACCAGCTGCTGACTAATACTTAAACCTACAATGTCTTTTCAAAATCAAAGTGATGATGAAATTGGAATTTTCCAACAGGACAAAACGCAGGTAAGAACTTTTCAGCCCTTTGTTTAGCCCAAGCTTCATTCTGCCTTTGTGGGGCAAAAAATGGCGGAATGTTTCAGTAGCGCTCATTTATGCGACAACACCGTTAAAACAACCAAATGCAGACAATCAATATTATATAAATGTATTTAATACACAAAAAACAGCAAAAGCATTACAGTAGAAACCCAGTCAGTAATAAGTACAGTGTAGCACAAAATTAGTTAGATGTTGCCAAGCGTTTGATCAAATTTATCCTAACACGCACTAGTAACTCTTGTTGAAGTGTTTTACAGATAAATTTCTAGGTCAAGTTTTCAAATTGTGAATGTTGAATTTTATCAAAAATTTGCGGTGCTCGTGAGGGAAACTGAATATTTCTAAGTTGGACAGTTTTTCGAAAATATTACTTCAAATTGGAGAAAAATCAATAACAAACAAATTTTAAAAAATAACACTAAGACATATATCCAATAATTTGAACCAGCGTATGAGACGGGCATATATGAGGCCAATAGTCAAATAGAAACCGGTCATTCAATTTTTGAACAAAAAAAATCATAAAAACCTCCCGTTTTAGAAAAAAAAATTCTAGGGGATTGGGAGCTTTTCAATCCCGTCTAAATTTTTTGGACATTCACGCATTTACTGAATTAAAAACTCCTCTAACGTTATGATAGAGGCTTGATATTTGCTGGGCTCCAAGAGTTTCTTTCGGAGGTCCAAAAGGAGGAAAATCACAAGCTGACAAGTCTGGACTGAACGGAGGAAGTTTCAACGTGTCCCAGTCAATTTTCTACAATTTCTCCTTTGGAGGACACTTTGTGGAATCTCAAGTCCTCTGTCATGATCTGTTGGGCAGTCCTGCAGCTCTCTTGAGTATCTGAATCAAAATTGGATTCAGGCAGGCCGATCATGGCTCGGATTCTCGACTATTCCACTTCTTCTAGATGACTCTTTTTGCCATGCAAAGACATGGTGTTATCCCCGAACAGTGCAGCTAAATTCCACAATGTGTGAATTCATCTCTCCTTGGTCAGAAGATTATTAAATATTCGCTGCTCTACAGAGACGTGCACTGTTTTTCCCTCAGTAATATCTCCTTAATATTGAGCAGACCTGACGGAATTCAAATATGCAAAAATTGTGCAATACATCGGGTTTAAATCTCACATTAATCAACATTGTCGTTATGTTCGTATGTAGGTGTTTTTGTAATTTAACAATGCACATAATAAAACAAGGTGTAAACAACATTAGCGGAACTATTACTTAACATGTAGTTATTTTGGAAACACTAAATAGTCCTAGATTACGATTACAGGCACTTTTGATAAAAACACAATAGTCGTCATTAAAATCGGATTTTAAAACGAAAAATGAAGAAAGAAAAAAACTGAGCTCTGGATAACAGAGAATTATGCAAAAACCGAAAGTACTGCTAAAACTATAAACTGGAACTGACTGTTGTTTGTTCAAGGTATAAGCAGCTCTTCGCATAAAAAATAAGACAGAAGAAAGAGGAAGAACATTCTTCATGATATTCAACAAGACAACGAGTTAAGTTGCTTGCGGGTTAAAAGTGAAGAAATTTTTTAAATTAAAATATTAAAACTCGACAACAGCGCAAACATTCTGTTTGAATTGCTTCCCGTGAAAATCGATCCGAGCAGGACTCGCCGGATTCTAGATCTTGCGTTCGACGTGAAGCAGAAACAGCTGTAGTTTTAGTTGGTTACACGAAGTCAGTGTCGTCCGTCGCGGCCAGACAGAATTCACACATTCCTTTCGGTAATATTCACGGATTTTTCGCGTTTTTGCGTCGGTTTCGCCATTGAATGTCGTTCGCAATGATGTTTTGTGCGAGTTTCTATTGACTTTTGCCATATTTGCCGATCCGTATTACCTCAAACCGAATTAATAGCGGCTGGCTGATTGTGAGGGCAATCTGGTTTAGGTTAGTGTACTTTGGATGTACCTCGGTTTAGTTCAGTTCAGCTGTTTGTCGAGCCATTGTAGTAAAATACGTTTCGCCTCTAGTAAAATTCGGATTCAACTGTTCTTCAAGGAGACCGAGGAACAACACATGGGGGAACTGAACAGTAAAAATAATTAATGGTTGAACCTCGTAAAAGCTAGGATTATAAAGAAAAAGAAAACGCACACCTACTCTGCTTGAAATTATTACAGATATTTTTGCAGAAGAGTTCCAAATGCGAGAAAATTGCACAATGATGAATCATTTATTTATAATGTGGGGTTTTGCATTTTGTCTTCGATAAAAGCCAACAGCTTCAGGAACATTAGAAATAACGACCGAACATTTTAAAGATTTTCATTGGCCTAGTGATTACTAAATAAAATATGAAACTTCATTCCTTACACATTAAATAATGAGAAAACCCGATTGTGCTTTCCATCTCGCCATCAAATGGAAATAAAGAATAAATAAATGAGATAATTGTGTATATTTTTAAAATTCAAACGAGCTTTTCCAGACATTTCAAGTCAAAATCATTTCGTTTCTTGCCTAGTCTTATATCGACTAGGTACTATATTTATCATTGTATATACTTTCCTGACTGTGTTTTAATTTCAAATCAAATTCATTCCTGGGATTCAGTCATTTATTGTCTCTATTTATCAATCAAAATACGTTTCGGTGTATTTTTCCACCATCATCAGTTTTTATGTGTAGCGTTGTTGCTGCTTTAAGCCTTGGCATGCATTTTCTGCATGCCAAGGCTATTTATCCAAGCATTTTTTCAATGACATATTTAAGCGCATTCTAAAAATTAAATCAATTATATCTAAGCTTTTAAATGTTTGTTCTAATATCTTTAATTCATATGCACATCTATGATACTTTTACAGTATTTTCAGCAGTATATGTAAACGTCCCCCCGATTCTTTCACATTTTCTTTCCACGCAATGAACAAATTTCGTTTAATTACCTTTATATTTAAATTAAATTCTCTTTAATTACCTTTATATTTGTATGAAAAGCTTTGATACTGGCCAGTCCCCACATAAAAGGGATATTAATAAACAAAAATACAAATTTAATCAAGAGGAAGCAAATATTAGAAACAAATTGTTTTTTGTCGTCGATACTTAAGTTTCTATTCCTGGTGTTAATAAGAAAAATACACTGTGTCCAAGAAAAAACACTCTAGTTTTCCTTTCTCACTTCGATGTATCAAACAGTTTTCCATCGATTTGGAATTCGGTTCTGTTTCTTTATTAGTCAATTTGCAAAATTGAACCAGACAACCACACCAAAGGTTTAGAGCGACATTTTCTCCGTAATTTACTTGCCAAAACTATCCGACTTTTTCACCAATTTTTTGTAAAACAAATCGACGATGTGTTGAAATAAAAACGGCAAAAATTTACACAATATTTGTATCTATAAAATAAATTATTCTATTTATTTCTTCACACATTATTTAACAAAAAAATAAAGAACCTATCTGGCCCTCAAGCAATCAATGTTAAGATCTTCTCCAAAAAAAAAAAAAATTCTGCATCACCAAATTTAGCCAAATTAAGATCACACTTTTCCCAGAAAGTATTAGTATTGAAAAGTAAACTCGATTTTCGTTTCGATGTTTACGCTAAGCTATTTTGAGAATTCTAAAAATGTATCATAAACATATGTAAATGATGGGAAATTGGAAGTCACGCTTTGAACATTTCAGATGGGATATTTTGATAACCGCTGATAAGAAGGGAGCAAATATTGCCCAAGTTTGCACTGCGTTTTACTTTGTGCGGTTTTGAGTTTTTAGTGAAAAAAACATTTTTCAAATTGGCAACTCTCAAAAGTTTTGAAGTCTAATATACTATTCAACTGCCCCAGCCCAAAATGTGCAATTTTCTGACTTTTTACTATATTATTTGCATCTTTCAGCCACTCCTAGCCTACATCGATGTGCTCCCATCTAAATACCAAAATAAAAGAATTGAAGCTCTATTGAAATCAAAGTACTTTAACTGCTCTTAAGTCAAGTGGCACTTGACTGGGTTATCGTCGGTTTCTCATTTGGAACTTCGTCCACGTTTTTTCGAGGCCCATTTCGCCTTTAATATTCACAAAATGCGAATATTTGATATTGTGTGAACTGTTGCGAGGCTCAGTACTCATAAAAAACACTGTCTACTGTCTAATTTCAAATGGACATGACTAGAGCGGAATTATTAACAGTACCCAAGAACAAAGCCACCATCGGTGAAACGTACGTGACATACATAAGCGCGGGCTCCATTGCTTTTCAACCGGAACCTCTTGCTCATTTTCTCGGAATTGTGTTTCGGTGCAAATTTATTGTTTATATAACATTTGCATAAGGTGAAGGAAAATCAGGCATTGTTTTATTAATGAGGAGCAACCGCCAGCTTCATCACTTTCCCGCAGTTTTCTTTGTTGCTCAAAAGACCATAGAATATTCAAATTTTTTTGATGCACACAAACGCCAAAAGGTTAAAAGCTCTGATTAAATTGGTTTGCAAATGTTTACTCTTAGGCACCTTCAATGTCAACTTGTACGACGAAGCGCAGTTATTAATAAAACAACGCTTTCATATGCATCAAATATGCCTAGTTTGCATAGTGAAAAGCAAACCTGTTTTCTACAGGACTTCAAATAATCGATTATCACATTGAAATAATCCATCTTCAATAAATATTATTTCCAATGTTGAAAGTAGATGTGCATAGCAAGCAAGTGTGTATAAATTCCATTGTCCATAGAAAATTAGTGAATTTCAACGAGTGGAAGTGGTCGAAAACTGCATGCATTCCCACTACTAAGAAAGGGTGAGAGTTGTTAGTAGGGGACTGTCTGAGTATGTAACGTCGAACTCGAGGACCTGTTAAACTTGAAAATTGTAGTTTTTATTTATGGAGCTGAGGAACGTTGTCTTGGACCAATCGCACAAATGTGTCGACAGCGCCCATTAATCCTTCTTGCGTTAACGAAAGAATACAGATATTTGAAGAACTTGAAATCGACTTTCTCGGGCATATTGACCAACACACATTGCCTATCTATCAGGCTTCTACTTTTCGACCGTCAACAGTCGGTTCGAACATGTGCCTCAAATTTTATGCATACATTATCAGTTCTATTATTTATCCTCATTAAAAATCATTTAATTCTATGCCTAAGCGTCTCCCTGATAAATTTTACATTTTGGCCATTATCGGATACTTTTCGCTACTTAAAATGTGCCTGGGGTGCATTTGGTGTGGGGTGGCAACTTAGTCAAAATTGTATTTATTTTTACCCGCGTTTTCTGGATTTTTTTTTGTTGCTGGCACACTTTACGACATATTGGCATTATACTTTTCAAAACCCGCCCTGTATAAGCGGGCAACGTTTTTATGCAAAATTTTATATGCAATACCTTCCATTACGCACATTAATTTATCAATTTTTCCAACGTTACCAGTTCAAATACCATCGCAAACGCACAACGTGAGGGATTATTTAGATCCACATTTCTTAAAAAAACTGTTAAAACCTTGTGCTCTCAAAACAAAGGTAAAATACTTGAAATAAACTGAAAAAAGGACTCACACACCATTTGCCACGTTAATTAACATGCATGTATTCGAATTTACGGTAAGACGCTTTTGCAACAACGCATATTTTGTTATTTCGGGGCAAGGTTCGCGAGTTTAAATTTAAATTTAAATTTAGCTGCTTAATTATATGGTGTTAAATAAGAATTATCTGTAATTAGCTCTTGAAGCTGTGTTTGTAATCAGTAGCGGGATTCAATATAATGGGTTCGACTGAGGATTTTTGTATTGTTTGTGTACTTAAACTTAAGTATTTCCGAACTATCTAATCTTTTATAGTCAAATGTACATTTGCTTAAATTCTTAGTGATCTTGTACTGACTTTGATTAAACAGGCAACCATTTTATTTACTGGCGGTTATCTCCTCAAGATAATTTGCTCCATTAAAATGGAAAATACGTTCTAATGCACCATAAATGTGGTTAAAGTTGTGCGGAAGCATTAATTAGAGGAAATTTATGCGGGCATTCAAGTTCAATCAACTGAAAATGCTACAGGAAAACGATGTGGGTAAATATAATAAGGCGTTTTTTCGATTGTTCGAGACAAAAAACAAGCAACTTTCCCCATGATATCACAAATTGGATTTGTAAAACTCGCAATGCCGCTTATTGAAATTTACAGTTTTGTCCTTGATTGTCAATTTTATTACCCAATATGCCATTAATATTTATTTGATTTTGCTAGCACTCGTGATTCGAAATGAACGACGATTCATCAATAATTGTTGTTGGCAATTTTGTACGTTATTGACGAACAAGTTCTGTGTCACTAAGATTACAAAATCAATCTCCTTTTGATTAAATATTGTAACAGCGACTTTCAAGCTAGATTTTCGTTATGTAATATTTATCGCCGCGTTGCATCTAATGGTTTTAATACAATTAGCATTCATCATTTAATTTTATTACAAAGTAAAATTTCATTTGGCTTCAACAAATGCCCAGCAACAAGGAAATGTATATGTAGATTTCGATTTGCGTAACGGAATTATACCTTCATTGACACAAAAAATTGAGACATTTGCAAAATTTTACCGTAAGTGATTCTTGCGATACCGAAAGAGTTGTTAAATAAAAAATAATGAGAACTTTAGAGCCACCATCGAATAAAACTCGGTTAACAAAAACCCTTGATATAGCAACGGTTGCTCCACCTTGGTGGAAACTGACTCAGCTAAAATGTAATTAATTATGCGGCATTACTTAATGCCTTTGCCAATTAATAAACAAAGCCCTTGAGAGTGTTTCGTATAGTGACGCCACAATGAAAACAATAATAAAAACCCTATCAATAATTCGGTATTAAGCGAGTTGACATTGTAAGTGCCGATGAAGACTGAATTTCAAAATATGCACGAAAATTCCGCATAATAACATACAAAGCAATCAATTTTTGGCCTAATAATACAAAATATGTGCGTGGATGTTTGCGCAAAAATTTACATAAAAATGAAAGTAGATCATATAAAAATGAAAGCGAATGTTCCGCCCATAGATTCTATGAACCTTGCAAGGGGGTTAGTTATTTACAATCGATTTCCTCATTTAATCCATGAACAATTTAAAGAAAGCAAGTAATGTGGTTTTTTATAATGAAAAGTTTGAAGCCAAACAAAAGTCTTAGTTCGGCCCTGTTCTCTGATTTGAACAGAAACATGTAAGGACAATAATTAAAAGATAACACCGCTACATAAAGTCTGTGTATTCCGAAGATAGACACCATGTAAGCAAACACACATCGACTACGCGCGATCAGCACGAGAGAAACTCTTGAGCAGGGTGGAATTTGAAATACTCTGAACTAAAGAAATGCTAAAGAAATCAAAATTTGGCATCGGCTTATGATCGAAAAAACAGACAGCGTAACTTCAAATCTTAACCAAAATAAATGTGAATCAGCAGTTATTTAACTAAAAACCATTGACATGATCATAGACTCCATCGGAATCATTCAGGAGTTATTTTAAGAAATATTACCGAATGTGTGACTTCAGGCAATCTGTTATTTTTTTCTGGTAACCTTGCTGGAATTTGAATTTGCATTCACAAACAGTAACGTAGCAATCACAAACTTAGTACTTGCTTTATATTTGAGGGTTTAAAAAAGAATCGGTGATTGGATTTTAAAAAAATCATCCAGAAGCTGAGGATGTGTATCACTTTTGTCCCCAAACTAATGGTGCCTTGTCGAGAACTTCCGCTCTGCTATAAATAAAGCCCATATAATCAACATAAACTTTTGGCGTTTAAACGAAGATTTTGGTCAAAGTCGTGAATTGTTATTTTCGAGGAAAACTATAATAGTCCTCAATTCGTTAGGCTTGAACTTGAACAGTTGATTGATTGCAAGGAAAGCTGGTTGATATTGAGCGGCGGAATCTAATGGCGTACACTTAACGAAGAAACCCCATAAAAACATTTTCTTTGCGGATCGCCAGTTTTCACTGACCTCGCGGTTTAAATTTATGATGGATGGATGCATTATTGATGCAGCTGGAGGTTTTAGAATACTATAAACTTTTCAATACTTAGATATTTGCTTAAAATGCCCGCCGACACTTTCTATGTTGTATTTACTGTGCAGCTAGAATTTACTGGCGGCGGTGTTAAAGGTAAATTTATGCACTAACAGCACTTGCGAAGCTCGCATTTACAACCCATATACGGTTATAATATTTATTGCTACAATAGTTTAACAGTAACCTGCCCAAGTCATGCACAACGCCAGAAAACCATGATGATTCAACATTGGCAAGGCACCGGAAAACATTGACTGCGAAAATTGCAGACATTAAAACTTTATAAACCAATTTTTTACTGATTGATAACCAATTTTTTTGTGTTAAAAATAGTTTCAATATGAAGGAGGAGTTCTCCACATAAATTAAGATGTAAAACATGTAAAAAACAATAAAATAATGATGAATGAATGAAATAGGCAAGCAACTATTCAACCGTTAAAATGTTATTCCAAATGAACACAAAAAAGTTTACGGTTGTCTTATCGAAACAGGGACAAATGCTTTTACCAAACCGATTTTCAGCTGGCTTCACTAACTCCTTAAGTGGAGACATTTTTTAAATTTGAATGGAAATTCTGCATGCTTTTTAAATATCCTGTTTTACCGTCCGTTACATTATGTCGATCAATCCTGGATCAGTGGTAATTTAGCATAAAACATTTTAAATTAAACTGAAAACACAGTGAGTTTAGCGGTTTTGTATTAGCTACCGCCAAACTTCCCAAGCTGATGCAATTAGTTATAACTGAATTTACATAGTAGACGTTTTTTCTTTCTGAGCAGACGAAGCTTGTGCAACTTTATGCAGTCACTAATCCAATTATTTGGAAAGTTACAGAACTTTTTCAGAACAAAAAGAACAAAGAAAGTTGCCCTTCAATGTTGATTGTCTTCATTTATCGATAATTTTCCAGTAAAGTAAATCTGCTGAAATAGTTATTTTATTCATTATTGACCAAGTGATCTTTCTAACAAGTCTAAACTGAGCAGAACCTACAAGCTTCTCATAAATATTAAAATCCCAAATAAAAACCCATTATTGATTGTGATTTATTAAGGACAGCCATACATTATGACCGCGGCAAACATTTTCACAACGAAATAAAACTGTGGCTTTAATTACAATTAAGCGATTTCCTGATGTTGAAGAGTTTAAATAATTTAGTAAAAATCACACAGAGAAATTTTGGATTATATTCGCGATTCCAAACCCAAGAGTCCGACTCTTATCCATTCCCGTTGAGATTCTATATTTAGAGTGGCTGCATTTGAATGCAGAATTAACAGCACAAGAACAACAATAAACATTACGGACGCTAAAAATACAGTCATAAAGCCAAACAAAACAAAGTGGAAGAAACGTAAACGATAATAAAGCCAGCGTTTCATCTCACAGCGAAATGTTCACTTTACACCCCAGAATTTTTGCTCCCCGAAAAATGCAGCTAATAAAACCTTATACAGTCTGTACCTACAAGTAAAATAAATACAGATAGGCAAAACTTTGGATAAAATAGTCCAATATCAATCAGCTTATAACATGTTCCCCGACTATGAAGGGCAATTTTACTTTTCCTTAGCTTAGATAGCGATTTTCTTTTAGAAAACTGTCAGAAATCCGGCTGATGTGTGCGTATAAATACCGAAGAGCTCGAGTGTCTGAAATGTTTCAGATCAAGTTGAGCAAACATTTGCATAGAAAATGGAACGACGCATAAGTGGGTCACATTCGAATGTCGACAGTCATTTTGTGGCAAAGGAGGCATTGATAATTACTGTTCCACACAACAATAGTATGGCTGATAAGCCCCTAAAAAAATTATGGGTACACGAATGAGAAACATTCTTGGTTCTAGTGTTCTTCAAACAAGTGTAAATCAACAAGAAATGTTCTATAAAAAAAATGCGTCTGAGGTTATCAAACAGTTCATGACATAGGTTCCAAAACAATTAGCGTGTGACGCTGATGTTATGTTTGTTTCATTTCAAAGCACAATATTTTTAATTCGACTATGTTTAAGAATCGTGTAATGACAATGATATTCAGCAGCAGTTTAAATAAAAACCAAAACATGATTGGGACTGCAATAACTATTCAGGGACGTTTTCAACGACAGAAAAGGGAGGGTTTATTAAATATTAACTTCTCTAACAAAGGTGACAAACACGTGCGTAAAAATGCACTTTTTTCCAGAAAAAAGCCTTAACCCTCGTGCTGTGTCAAAGACGATGATCTTTCGAGCATGGACCACTTCGGCCGGCTGACATGCACCGGCTCGACGTCGTCCACCCAACGACGCAAATTCTCAAAATGGGTTTTCCTCACATTGCTCTTCTTCATCTTGGATCCGACGTCCTCCCATGCCCGGCACGGCGCCGTCATTACAGCGCCGCCAGGCTGCGTGTTTGTCAAAATTTCCCTTCTGCGCTGCCAGGATCGCTCTGGAGACGGCCTGGGGCTACCAAACGACGTCACTCACTTAGAGCTGAAGAATGTCACCGAAGCGAGCGTGAACTTGAAGTTTGTGAGACACTTGCAATGGACCCAAAGTGGTAAGTAGGCGTAATCGACTCCATGTGGAGGCCGCGCTCAAAGCACGAATTTTTAAAGGTCTCAGTCACGTGAAGGAACATTTAGTCAATCCCGAAGGTCTGCGGACGATAGACTTAAGCGAAAATGCCATACGCGACTTAGAAAATTACCAGTTCGATAACTACACTAGTCTAGTTCACATGAATCTCTCATTCAATAATATCACGGACTTGCCACGATACGTATTCAGAAATCAGAAGCTTAAAACGCTTAGTCTTAGCCACAACCATTTGCAGGCGCTGCCATTTCAGGTAAGAATGAGCAGTATGGCAACCATCCAGGTTCTCAAACAAGATCATTTTATCAGGTATTCGCTATGGAGCACATGACCGAACTAGACCTAAGCTACAACTACCTCGCCACCTTCCTAGACCATTTCTTCAAATTCAACAAATACATCGAAATCTTGCTCCTGAATAATAATCGCATCGCGAAACTAACCTCCAATGCTTTGGCTGATCTTACCGATCTGAGAAGGTTGGACTTGAGCAACAACGCCTTGGGCCACATCGCCAAAGGCTTGTTCGACTCACTCAACAAGCTGGAGTACTTAAACTTAGCCTACAACCCTCTAACGAACTTGGCCAGCGGAACTTTCAGAGGCTTGAGGAACCTCTTGGAGCTGGACTTAAGCGGCAATAAATTTACGCATTTGACTTTCGGACTGATGCACTTTAGTCAGCATTTGTTGTCGCTGACTTTGGACGACACGGCTATTGAGGAACTTCACAATTCTGAGCTGCTCGGAGTGCCGTCACTGAAAAATCTTTCATTGAGAAACAACAAAAGACTGAGGGAGATGGAGAACTATGTTCTGGCTGATACGCCAGTACTGGAAGTTTTGGACATTAGCGGAAACGCCTTGACGTATTTGCCGTCCAGTGTTAGCAACTTGACCAGGTACTTGTCCTTTGAGTACAGGTTTCTTCCTGACGTTTCTTGCTGACACTCAACGCATTTCGGTGAAAATGTTTCGAGCAAATCGCCTCTAAAAATGCAAGCAACTCGGGCTTGGAAATCGTCAGAAAGAAATTCTGTTCTCCGATTCTCATCGCCGGTTTCAAGCAATGACCGTAAACGTCCAACTCTTTTGATAATACTGATGATGATGGTATTTTACTGCAGACTGCGCCACCTAAACATCTCAGAAAACCCATGGGCGTGCGACTGTCGGATGTACTGGTTTGCGGGGTGGGCAGAGGCGCACCAGAACATCACAAAGTCTGAACTGACCTGCGGCCCCGACGCCTACCCGAATGATATGCTGCCCACCCTGCACCACTTGAACTGCACCAGACCACAGATTGTCTTCAAGACGCCCACCCAACTGTACAGACTCAGAGCGGACGCTTTGTTGGAGTGCAGGTGAGTTAAGGCAATTTTTCAGATATAGAGCGCGAACAAATAATAGATATAATTTTCGTAAAGAGAAAATCGCCTTTGTTAAGAATTTGCACGTCGCTTACCCTTCTGGATTACATTGAACGGTCAAGGTCAGGAATAGAGTTAGAAATAAAAGAAAAAGTGTCCTCTAAAGGGCTTACAAATCAATATACACACATAATTAGCGGACAAAGTAAAAGCTAATTTCATATGGGATTTTTTAGCCTTTTTACGGCTTTAATGATGCCTTTAAAGTTTTGTTAAATGTGTAAAGTCGCTATGTTTAATTTTGTAGTTGAGAGTGAATGTTTTTGGGTTTAGTAGTAAATACATTTTTATTTACTTTACGGTCCAATTTGTCTGAACCCAATCACTTATTCCCAAAAAAAATTCTTTAATGATGCGACTAAAGTTATGTCAAATGTGTAAAGTTTATCTAATGCAATTTTATAGTTGAGAGTGATTGTTTTTGGATTTAGCAGAAAATACGTATTTTGTTTCAAATGAGATCTCTAAGATTTCTATATAAAATAAATAAAAAAAAAAACTAAATTCAGAATTTCTTAATAATATGCTTTCCATCGTTTCCAATTGATGCAATTATTCTACAAGAAGGTAAACATTTTCAGAAACATTCTTATCAAGCCTTTTTACATTTAGATTATTATCTTTTCGCATTAAGAAATCCTATTCTACGTTTAATCCGTTATTGAAAATCACGTTGTGCGATTTTAGCTTATTGAAATTGGTTGAGTATTTTAAAAATTGTTTAATAAAATTAACAAAAATTACATACATTGATATAGAAAACTAAATTTTCCATTTGAAACGCAAAACGAATCGAGATTGAAAATCAATTTCTCAAAAAAAGTATGTAAAAAATTTAATTGTAAATTTTCCTCTTCTTTGTTATTAAACTTTAAACAAAAAGAAAAAAGTTAAAAAGTTATTCTTCTTTGTATTGGGCTCTATTCTAAATTGCATTGGGCTCAAGAGTAACGCAAGTTTTGTCGACACTATCTATAAATTGCACCAGAAAAAGATGATTGGAATTCAACAAAATATCTAAATATGCAATTACGACGTTCTACAGGAAAAAAATCGGGATTTACATTTTTTCAATGAATTTTAAGTTCTAAAATATTTCCATAAAAAACTGATATGTACATCATATGCGGAAAGCCATTTGCAACTATTCGAATCTCGTTTATGTCCGCGTTAAGTAGGTATGACAAAAATTCGACATTTTAAAACGGGTTTGACTTGCGTTTGAATTGTTTACTTATGATATAAACCAGACACTGTTTGCTACCAGATACCAAGACAAAACATGGTAGGTTGACATCTAAGTAGATTTCAATGTTGACCCCAGCGTGAGCTGTTTTCGATTTATTATCCAATTATCGAACATTTATAATTCACTTACTTAATGGCAGCCAAATCTAATAGCAAATGTTAAAGTGTAATTTGAATGGAGAGCTTTTCCTGTCTGGGGATTTAGTTAGAAATTCGTAATTGGAAACTTTTAGCCGAGTATTTTGATATCTTGTTTCCCATGATAAAACTCATTAGAGACCTCATTAACTATTAAAAACATTTCACTGAACACAACATACATTGATTAAATGAAAAAGTAAGCGTGTTTCGAAGCTTACGATGTTACTGACTAATCTACTTTTTTATGAAGACAATGAACTACTAAATTTATGTTAAATATGAAAAAAATATTCATAAAATTTCTTCGCTCTATTTAAAGCTGAAGCGTACGTTTCCCATTAAATCATATTTTCTTTCCTCTAATATGTTTGCGGGTAACGGCAATTCCCATAAATACTTTTCTTTACCCAGAAAATGTGGGTGGTAAGTTATAACTGGAATTATATTGCCCAGAAGCGAAAGAATTGACAAGTGTTACTCGCTAACCTTCATTCACTTTTCTAGGATATTTTATATTTCGGCTAGTTTATTTAAAAATATTTTGATTTGCATTGACCATTACCAGTTTTTTTGCATATTTTAGCACGATCATAGAAATAATGTGATAAGTCAACACAGTAAAATTTATAAAACAAACCAGACAGGCAGCGCAAACATTAACGTCGGTTACCTTCACTTTTCAATCGAAAACAAATCTAATATGTGTAGACTCATAAGAGCTTTTTTATAGCTCTCTTAGCACTTACATTTTTCAAAGAATTTATCGAGTGGATGATTGTTCTTCAAAGGCGTTTTTAATGAGCCCCACATATCAATATCTGCGTTGCCCGATACAAGATTAATTTGCACAATTAAAGATATTCAGTGCTAGTTTACTATTTGAAAATTAAGCTACGCCTTTGTTCCATCGAAGTAAGAAATGATAACGATTAATCCGTTAATGCTCACTGTCGCTTATCAGTGAACCGATGTACTCGTGCAAGCTGGCACGGAAGTTAATAACATATGCTGATACAAAAAACGCCCGGAATCGAGCGTATTGTCATATGCAAATCGTTCTAAAACGAACTTTTAAATGCATGCATGCCCGACCATTATTTTTACATTATTAATTTCCAACAAATTTTGAAGTAAAACGCGATTTTTTTTTCCAGATATTCAGCCTACCCTCCTCCGTCTATAACTTGGATCACCCCGAAACGGGAAGTGTTCCATTGGAACCCCGATTCCGGAATTCCGGATATCTTCAAAAAGCACCCGTATGCTCATGATAACTACATGACACCGTTGAGAATTATTCCACCTAGAATCCAGGTAAGAAGCCTGTTTGTCTGTTTAGCCGCATAAAAAATAATAGGTATTTAATTATCCGTATTAAGTGAACCATTCCGGAAACCTGACACGCGTTCCACTTGGAAAAGAGCCAGCGAAAGCTCTAGGAATTTATGACTTCGCTGCACTGAACTAATCAAGTCCATTCATAAAAAAATTAACAAACTGACTCTTTGATATGTGCACGAAGTGTGTAATGACTATATGTGAAAAACAAGCCACAAAGTTTCAATCCTTCTAAAACTCTGCAGACCTCCCGGGTGCCTCCCATTGAGCCATTAAACCCACGGCAAAGGCTGCAGGAAACTCAGCGAATTTAATTTCCAACCGGTCTTACCTAAGAGAGTTTTACTGCGGAAAACCAGTAGTTTTTTCCTATTTATTAAAAGCGCTTCTGTATCAAACTCCTGTTTTTCCGCTAGCTTAATTAGGTACTTCTATAAATATTTTTCCGGCTGTCTTCTTGGAACGCAATTCGCGTCTCGTCCATGCTAAAATACCCGCTTAATAGACCTAGCACGTCGTAAATTGGCACGCGAACCGACATTTGTTTGTAATTAGGGACAAATTTAATGAAACTATTTGCAAACGTGGTTTTTTCAAATTTTCATGTGCCTACGTCTTTACACAGATGCGTTATTATTTGGGGCTTCCTATTTTCAAAATGGTTTACCATCTGTCTGGGTGGTTTTGATCCAAGATGTTTGCATAAATCATCATTACAAACTACTTGAATTTTTAATTTTTCAAGCTCATTAATAATTTTTTTGGGTGCATTGGGAACGGAATTGGTATTAGTTGCAACAGAACAGAGAAACCACAGTGGGCAAAAACATTAGATTTGCTGCGCTTAAAAAATATTTTCAAATTGTTCAGGTGTTGGACAATGGGACCCTTTGGATTCGTAACGTAACACGCAGCGATTGTGGCCGATATTACTGCTACGCAAGCAATCCGGTAGCCAACCATACCGAAGATGTACTGTTACATATCGACCCCACAGATTGGAACCATATCCGCATTGTGAGCCTTATTGTAGGCACACAAAGCGCCAGTGGATTCCTAGGGCTCACGCTCATCGTTCAGTTCCTACGTTATATACTCAATAAGTAAGTGAGATTGTTTCTAAAAATAGCATTTTTTTTAATAGGACCCGGCTAGCATGTTTCGAGGCAAAAACGGGGCGCTCCTTAATGATGGGGTGCTTTTGTGAATGGCAAAGAAAGGTCACATCAATCTATCCAGAGTTCGTGCCAAACCCGATGATGCCCCGTTTTTTTCGAATGATAATCAATACGGAAAATGGCTTTGTTTTGCAGGTTCGGAATCCTAAACAATTTCTGCAGCTTCTGCAAACGCGACAAGGTGTCGCCAAGGGCAAGGCAAATCTACGCCATGCTGGATAACATCGAGCAATACAAGTCGCAGCAACTGGAAAAGTTGCGAGAAAACTACACACAACAGGTAAACTCGCACCTAATAAAATCCCCAAGGGGATAGAACAAATATATCATTTGTTCCAGGTTAATCGAATCAAAGACAATTGTGCACAGCAAATGGAATGGATCCAGGGCAGCTACCAAGCGCAAACCAAACACCTGAAAGACTTCCGGGACATTGGAAGCCAGCATTTGTCGACTTTGAGAGGCCAATATTGCGACCAGGTAATAATAAAACCATAAAAAACACCCAAATTGCTCCCGACTAAGACGTACAGTTGTCTAATAGGACTTGCAGAAGTCTGAAGTTACAAAGACGCTGATTCTGTTCCAGGTGAGGAAAGTTCGCGACTATTCCACCAGCCAGCTGAATTGGGTGCGCGAGAACTACGTCTTCCAACGTAACAAAATCCGCAAATTCAGCGCCCACAAAGTGCTGCAGCTCCGTGAAACCTACAAGTACCAACAGCAGACGCTAAACAAAGTTCTGGAAAACCTTCCTAGTTTGTATTTCGAAAATTGCCGAGCTGGCACTTGTGGACGGGCCGAGAGCTTGGTGTTTGATCCAGCTGATTTGGAAAGCGTCGATTTCTACATTAAAACGAAAATCGAAAAGCTGAGCAACTTGGATGAAGGAGATATGGAAGATATGAACCAGAGTAGATTGTCGCTCTATTACACGCCTACTGAGCGGTCGTTGGGTTCGAAAGTGTTGTCGCCCATAGATGACGTTCTAGCCGGAGTTCACATCAACTACATCGAAAACAGGCCCGAAATGCCGATATTGGAAGGGCCTTCGACCTCCCAAGGCGCTTATGTGAATCCTGAAAGTCCAGTGCGCGAAATTATGGACGACTCGGTTAGTGTGAACATGTTGCCTGATGATGCCGAATTTGTGCAAGTGATTACAACTAGTAGCAGCTCGCAGAACTTGCAAATTCTGAATGGAGACATCCCAAAACATGTCGAGAACAATAGAGTGACTCATGAAACATCTTTGTAAGTAATGTGACTAAATATTTCCAACAAATGTTCAATTTCGACTATAAGCAACCACCTGAACACCCGAAGCTTGTTTTGATCAGGCAAGTACATATGGAAGATCTTCTCCAACAAGGTGTGATGTTCAAAAATGTGATCTACAATGTTTCAACAGGGTTTTAAATGTTTATTTTAACATAGAAGAAAAGTTGTTCAAGTTGTTCGTGTTGTGGCTAGAAATTGTTGGATCTCTTCAGAAGCATTTTCGAGCTGAATTATGCCAAAAAACCAAATTATCAAATTCATGGACAATAAATAAGCTTTGTTTTAAATGACGATTCAGTGATATCTGAAGCTTCATAGTGCAGTTTTTCAACCCGTTGATTTGCTATTACATTTTCAAACCAATATGATTAATTTAAGCTTGTAAACTTCTATCTTATGTTTAAGACTTAGTCGAGTTTTTTTACACATTTTAATCACTTGAAAATTGTATGAAATTTGCTGACGTGTACATAACAACCAATTGCTTCAAAGACTGACAAGTTAATTTACAGAAAATTCAACCACAGACAAAATATTTTGCTTAGTGCGTCAGTCAAACTACAGAAAAAAACTTTGCATATCTAGGCTCTTGATTAAACGACTAAATCGAAATTTTATGTAGTTTAGCATTAGCTACAAAAATGTACCTTTTCTAGACCACTATATTATCTCACTAGTGCACTGGTTACTTGAGCTGCAAAACTTATTTATACGGTAACCTAATCTTAAGTCTAGTGCTGTAGCGGGATATTAAATTTTAAACAGAATTTTCATGTTCTTTCTATTCATAGGCAATTTAATTTCGGATTTCGGATACTCCATAGGGTTGTAAGTTTAATTTTCATTATTCTAAGGGTACCAAGTTTCCAATGTTGTGGTAAGAGTTCTATTTTTCTGAAAGGCGAGATCTGCTCTATTGTTATAATCTTAATGCAAGACGAATTTTCTCTTGTAATATTGGCCGCGATGGTTAATTAATAATAAAACGGTAGCGTTAATATATATGAAGTCTTTGATTTCTACCCTGTTTGGCATTCATATCGCACACTTTAGCGGAGCGGACAACATCGGGAATAACCGCGTTCTACATGGTTGAAAAATTGGACGCCTATGCAAAAGGCGATACAGATTGAAACTTCCGGAATGTATGTATAGTGCAGGATAAACTAATGTTATTCGTTATATAAAATTATTTCCCAAATCGCTGCGCTTTGAAAAGAGAGGGCGTTAAAGTAGATATTATTCCCCCGTCATAACTTTCAAGTTTTTGATCCGATTAAAACAAACAATTTCATAAACGCACAAAAATCTTCTAAGTTACACAACATTTTTTTAAAATTGTTGCTAATCATTTTTTAAAATGTTTTTTTAATGCTTTACCGCAGTTAAAAAAGTAATTTTATGTAAGTCCAGCTGAAAATAGCGTTAATTAAGTCAATAATTTTTTAATGCTTTAGTGTAGTTTCACGCTGGTAAGATTCTCCATATTAAAATGTGTGTAACTGCACGATCATGAATTCTCCGGAAAGATGAGCAGGTTGATGAAAATTAAAACCTTGTTTTACCATTGTCTATGTGAAATAATAATGGCTTTGATTTCATAAGCGCTTAAGAATATTTAAAAATGATTTGACCTTGCAACATAATTGCACTAAATTAGACCAAAATCTACTAATTTAAAATAGTTCTTTGAATTAGCAACGTCTCAAGCTTCAATTGCATTACCATAATTCGTATCTCATTTACATCTCCATTATGCAAACAGAACTTTGCGTCGAAGGAACATTAAATTATTTCATGCAATCTAAAATTCAGTACTGAACTCACCTTATCAATCTGACGGCTCCATAGATTCACCTTATGACCAGCCTTGATGAGATTATTCACCATGCCAGTACTCATGATGCCAAGGCCCAAGAATCCAATAATGGACGTTGGAGTCATGTCTTGCGGGGTACCTCCGAAATCACCAGTTACCAAGCTCTACAAATTTTTTTATTTAGACGAAAAATTGCGTAAAAATTATAATACAGAAGCAAAATAAAGAGACAAACAGTAAATAAACACACTTACCGCTTGATCGATGGGATCTAACTCAGAGTTTGGCGACGTTCTGCCATCACCACCAACAACAGTATCAGCCACAATAGCTTTGTACTGTTTGGTTCCATTTTCAACTGGTTCGCTCGCTGGTTTTCTCTTCCCTTTGGCAATTTTACTTGCCGATGTCGAACACTCGCCACTTTCATTGCTGGATTTCCTCTTAGACTACAAATTATTATTTTTTTAGTTTGTTCTTGCAAATATGTTTTCTTAGTGAGTTTTTGTAAATGTGTGCCAATCGAATTTTGGCAAAATGTTTTTGTTCCGTTACATAAAAGAAAACAAGTAAACAAACAAATAGCGAACACACATTTGAGGCACAATTTGCTAATTATTTGAAAAAAGCTAATATTTAATTAGCATTGAGACAAAGAAATACAAAACTTGCAATATGCTCTCTAATTTTTCCTATTACTTAAATATCTGAATTAATGTGTAATATTTCAGTGATTTAATAATTACATGACTTAATTCGAAAAGAATAAAAGAAGAAAACCCATTCTCGAAAATTCTTCGAAATACGTTAAGATTTTGAACGAAAATTTGATGAAATCATAAGAAAGGAATTAGCGTCAAAAGGAGAGAAAATTTAAATTTTTATTTTAAAGACACGCGCTTAATTATTGAAACCGTTCTGCTATCAAGTTAATTCGCCTATAGTATATGTACATATATTTTCTATTTGTTTGCATGTGTGATAGTGTCGTCAGACAAAAGATTAAATTGCAATGTTTAATATACTAATTTAATCTTAGTAGCTATGAATAAATAATTTAAACTGAACGGGTTGAATAAAGCAGATGTAAATAGTGCAAATAAAATATGTAATAAAATTTAATAAAATCGAAATTAAGCTGTATTGCGCTCATAGCAAATTCGCAACGAAGCAATTTGCGCTTATAGTTACGGATTAAACTCGGGCTATTTAGGGAGGAAAATGTGGGGCTAACATAATGCCTCTTTCTCATGAAACACCTTGAACTTGTGTAATTTTTAAATCGGAACATGGTAGAACCTTACCTGGCGGACTGGCTTTGGAGCCTCGGCTTCGGGTTCTACAGCATCGCCCTTTTCTGAGTCTTCCTTACTCTGAGACTGAAAAAAACTCTTCTGTGAACGTTTGGTTAATTTCCACATTTTTTTAAATAGCGTTTCTTATTCGACTGAAAAAATCTGAAACTCAATTTTCTGTCAACGTCAATCAGATTTCGGGAAAATTAACTGAGTGACGCGTACAAGCGGGAGATGAGCAAAGTGACTAGATGTGGTTCAAGGCGGAATACAAATGCATACGATGTTGCCAAGTGTTGACAAAATTCTTGTGGCCATTTGGCTTTCTGAGCAAATATTTAAACAAATGTTCACATGGGGGCTTGAATTTTTCCGTTTGGAATAGTTCAATTAAAGCTTTCTTAAGCATATATTCCAAATTACTATTTACTTGCTCTCAAATTCAATTCTTTGGCAACGCTGTAGGCTAGCAGAGAGCAAATGACAGGTGAAACGTTCAAACTTTTCAGTAATCACTTTCAAGCTTCTTTTTAATTCAAAAACGCGCAAATTGCACAAAAATAACTGTTAAAAGCGGTTGTACTAAGAGTTTACTAAGCATCAAGTCGCAGTAAGTAGGATAAATATCTCCGAAATTACATTGACACCCAAGTTGAAATTAATCCCGTTTCTAGCATAGGTATTTTATTTTTCAATATTACTCATTCAAGTTCTACTCTCTTTCAGTTCAAGTATTACCATTCGTACCATACATATTACGGTAAATAAGTTCTATATTGTTGAGGCGGAATTTTGTTTTTTGAAAATTTTGAAAAGGAAATTCTGTCTTTTTTAAAGACAAACATTTTTGAGGCGAAATACCCAAAAAGAAGTTTGTAAAAAATATTACGGTAAGTTAGAACGTACCTTCTGATATTCAGCTTCAATTTCAGCCACTGCTATTTTGAAATCAGCCCGAGACGAAGCCTGTGACAGTTTTGCTTTGGTTTCTTCATTGTACTCGGTTATACTGCTAGGAGCAGCCCAACCGCTGAAAATTAAAATTATTGTTTAGCTAATCTATCATTTAAAAGTAATAGTTTTTACTGGTCGACAAGAACTGTTCTTTATGAGCAGTTATTGAGTAGGTATTATAAATATTTTAACCAATTCATCAACATTAGGTCTTGCATGTTGTTAAGTTATGGAGCATTCTCAACGCTAAAATGAGCCCCATTTTCTTTCTTGATTTGTTTTAATTGAGTAAATTCATCAGTTCTGTTTAAAGAAAAAGTAAAACACTTACTTCTGCTTATTGGGTTTGCCATTAAAATAGTACACATAGATCTGTCCTTTCGCAGCCTGATCAGGATGGTTTTCCACCTAAAAACACAAAAATCCCGCTTAAAACTGTATTCAAAACAAACCTTGAGGTTAGGAAATTCAAAACAGACATCGCGCGCAAGGTTTCGTTTTCGCCCAACGTTACAGAGATGATACTAGATTAGACAAAGCGTTATGTTTTAAAATGCGTGTTTGCGATTGGTCGGAATATGAAATTTAACAGAAAATAACGTCAGACTATGAGAAAACTCCTTTATCAGACAACGACGCTGGTTTGGCGGCAGCACTTACCCGAGCAGGCCACACCGCAACAGTATCTTTCTTAAGATGCGTCCTGAAACAATGCGTGATTATTAACTGAACAGTTTAATTCCACATAGAGTTTTCACTCATTTAAATCGGTTGCTTACCAAACGAGATCACCGGCTTTAAAATTCGTCTTCATTTTCACAACTTCTCCAGGCAATTGCTTCACTCAAACTGAATTTTGTTTTCTTAAATGACAGTTCGTAAATAGTTTGTAGAAGGGGGAAAGCATAGATGCCTTGCGCAAACAACTGGTTTCCATAGACATATAAATGTGTAGTGTTGCCGAACTGTGCTAAGAAAATATGGACTTCAAGGCGATTTTGTTCGGATTTTTGAATAATCATGTTGATGTTTTCAAACCCTTTGCCCTTTACCCAAAAAGTAGGAATGTACAGGGTGTCTGGAAATTATTAAAATGTTTCCCCTTATTTTTCAAATTGCAATATTTCCTTCCATTTTCTCTTGCATATATTTGTGTTCCCACTTAGCAAAAGTAGCACATTGAAATTCTGAAAAGAAAAAACCACCTGAAAAGTCTTGAAATTTTTATGCAAATACCTCTGAGTTCTGGGTTTTCTGGTTCTGGGGCTCTGGGGAAAATTGGGTCTAAAAATAAGCCTTTTCTTGCACTTCCCGTTTTAAAAACTCTTGATGGCAGTGCCACTCAAGTGGCAACTTGAAACTTTAACTGTATATGTATAGAAAAAAGTTCAGTCTAGAAGGCCTAAAATTTTCATGTAAATCGCGCTGAATTCAGATTTTTAACTACTTGACAAATCGGGTCCAAAAATTAGCGTTTTACGCAAATGTACTTTTCGGTTTAAAAATTTGTAATTTACATTTTTAACAACTTGACAAATTTGTGTCTAACAATGATCGCTTTCATGCAAATGCACTTTAAAAATTCATAACCTCCCAGGTAACGCAAGTAGCATCTTGAAACTTTCAGAGTTTCAAGCAAATCCTATAAGCTAATATCCTTAAAAAAATTGCATGCAAATCGCGCTGAATTCTGGTTTCTAACTACTTGACAAATATGGGCCTAAAAATAAGCGCTTTCTAGCAAACGCACTTTCCGTTTTAAAAATGAATAACTTTCCATCTAAAGCAAGTGGCATTTTGAAACTTTTTCAGCCTCTCGGAAACACCTCGATCTAAAAGATCGGAAATTGTCATGCCTATTGCGATGAGTTTTGATTTTTAAATACTTATCAAGTGCGGGTCCAAAAATGGGCGTTTTACGCAAATGCACTTTTTGCTATGGAATTTTATAACTTCCCAGCTAACGCAAGTAGCATCTTGAAACTTTCAAGGCTTATATAAAACACTCTAAACTAATATCCTTGAAATTGGCATGCAGATCGCGTTGAAACAATTTTTAGGTACTTAACAAAATCGGGTCCAAAAGCGTGCTCATGCAAATGCACTATTGATTTTTTCTCGAAAAACCTTTTGTAAAAACTTAAACTTAAAGAGGGCTTAAACTTAAGCGTTCATAATGAAATAACTTCATGCAAATAATTTTTCAAATTCTTATGTAAAATAATCAATGCTTCTCAAAACAATGGCTTATTATATTTTATTATATTTATGTATATAGATTGATGATATCTAGTGAAAGTGGCAACAGAGCGAGCTAACCTCAAATCTTTGCTTGAAAAAGTGTCAGATGTCACTGGAGGAGGTCGCTCAGTTGCATTCTTGTGGTTTATTTGCATATTTCTTCTAAGGTCTTTGTGTGAGTGGGACAAGTTTTTCATCATCCAGTGCAAGTGTTAGACTTGATCACCTGCTTGCCATCTTTTAGATGAAAGTCGTGAGTTAAAAGACTTTTGAAAGTTTTTGTATACAGTTTCAGTTCTGCACCCCACCCAAGGTATGACAAACGCAATTCCTTCTTTAGTACCGGAAGTTCTATGCAGTTGATCTAGTTGAAGAATGCTAATTAATTAACACATTTTTACCTGGCCGCTCGGTTTGGTTTGATTCTCGCCACTGCAGTTGTTATTTAGTGAATATTAGCACCTTGTCCAGTTAACCTCCCGGGGGTTATTGATCTCTATGAAACAGTAGCTTGGTTTTTTGTTAGAAATTTATTAAACATTTGAGTGTGGAATATGAGATCGTGTTAATTCAATAGTAGACCTTTTGAAGATCGAACACACTCGCTGTTCGTTGGTTATGCTTCCGAGATCAATTCTTCTGGTACCGCGAACAAGGTAGAATGTATTTTCGAGCCCTTATGGAGGTTGAGTATTTGAGTAAATTTTGTATTACTCCATGAGCTAAGATCGTTTTTCACTAAAAGTCAATCTACTAGTCAGTAGGTGGGATAATTACACGTTATTATTATACATAAAATAAACTGGTTGGCACATGTGCTCGTTAAAGAATAAGAACTTTTGGAACATCTAACAGGCGACAATCACAAGACCGGTTTGGGACTTTTCGTTTTCATCGCATAAAAAGGTGGCATCGCATATCTCTTTTATCTCAGTAAATTCCAATTTTTCACTCTCAAACTTAGATTGAATTGTTTTGTGCCAAAAGCACGCCTTGCTATAAGTACATATGCTGTATATCAATTAACTATCTCAATTCTCAATCAATCAGAATCAGAATGTAAATATCAATATTGGGCTGCAACATTATGAATTTGACTCTGCTAAATGCACAACTGAACAAAACTTTTCTGTTGTGCAAATGTGGGAAATAAAATCAAAGAATCTATTTAACTAGACAGCTATGCAATCTATGGCCTGCTTTTGTGTAAATGCCTCGAGCATTGTAACATGTTAATGATTGATACAATTTTCTAAAACCCCTAGAGTTATGACTACTTTGTTCTGATAGATATATCCATTGTTATCTAACAACAATATTTATTCCAGCTTTCAAGGATAAGTGCCACACTCAAATAAATAAAGGACCTGGTATCTTATCCAAATATCTCATTTATCAGTGGAACTAGGCTTGGAATATTGAACTACTCTACGGTTTAGTGCATATTGGCATGCCATAACAATGGATGAGGGAACGTTAAACGATTTGCTCGAGTGTTCTGTGTGCTTTGAAAGACTGGATACGTCCAGCAAAGTCCTACCATGTCAGCACACATTTTGCAGAAAATGCTTGCAAGAGATTTATCAGAAGCACAAGGAATTGAGGTGTCCAGAATGCAGAGTATTAGGTAAAATATATGATTTATGCGAATAAACTCCATTAGCAAAATTTTTCTAATGGTGATGCGGTTTGGCAATACTTCCATCTCTACGTATTTACTATAGTAGTATTTATTGAAATTTCAGTAACCATAAAGATCGAAAATCTGCCCCCCAATGTCCTACTGATGAGAATTTTGGAGGGTATGAAAAACTCGGGAGTGCTGGCCCCCCCTAAACGGTCCCAGCGACCAACCAAAGGCGCTTCACAACATCAGCCAGGTATTTTATTGTTTTCAAATGGTAGTTGTTTGTTAGTATTAATTGTTCCAGGTGCAGTTTCGCATTCTGCTCATATTCAGCAACAAAATGTCGACAGAAGCAATAATAAGCATAGCGCGAGCCATGCTGTACCCCATCAGCCTTATGCCAAAGCTCTTTATGATTACGTCCCTAAAGAACCAGGGTAAGCATTCAAAGCTCTGGAATTCTACATGTTTGCTTAATGATTAAAAGTTGTTTCAGAGATTTGCAGTTTAAAAAAGGCGACATTATAATACTAAAGAGGAAAATTGATTCTCATTGGTATCAGGGCGAATGTGGTGGCAAACAAGGCGTTTTCCCCGTTACCTATGTACAGGTGTGTTGGTGCAGGAATTACTTTTGACTAGAATTCAAATTTGTCTTCTATTTTGAAGATTATCACGCCAGTTCCCAGTCACATACCGCAATGCAAAGCTCTCTATGATTTCCGCATGACCAATGACGAAGAAGAGGGTTGTTTGGCCTTTAATAAAGGCGATGTAATCAATGTTATCAGGCGTGTGGACGAGAACTGGGCAGAAGGCAAATTAGATGGAAGAATCGGTATTTTTCCATTATCCTTTGTGGAAATGAACAGTCTGGCTAGGTCTTTGATGAAATTGTCCACCAAGTAGGTGTAATTTGAATAAGTAATTTTATGACAAATGTGAATCAATTTGAAACAGCATTTAACTCAATATGATTTTGGATTTTTGCAGTGTACAACCAGGCCCGTCCAAAGTCGCACCACCTACTCCTACAACCGAGGAAAGTATTCCTCTGATACCAACTGATCATTCAACTTCTGTTACCTCAGTTGCTCAAAATATTTCTCACCAGGTACTTAGGTGTTTTAATTGGCTAAAAATTTGGAACATTATATGAACACTTCCTCGCAGGGTCCAATATCCGCCTCAGATTCAAGCTCCAATAATATAACTTCGAGTAGTTCCAGCACTACTCCGAACGTGTCTTCTAGCAATACATCATCTAGTTCCAGTACAGCTCCATCTTCCCCAGCCAGTCCGCCAGCACGAGTTGAGAGATCAGCAGTGTCTCCAAGGAATAATAGGTAAAACCGCAGATCACCGCAGCAGTGTTGTTTGACTGTTTTTACCTCATCTGTGTTAGTTTTGTTATTGTCCGCTTATACTGTGCTTTTCTGTTTGATTGTCAGTCGTAAACCTGAAATTTCGAAAAATGTGCCGCCATTACTACCGCAACAGTCATCAGTAGTTAATTCTCCTCACACTCGTACCATCGAAGGCAGGCTTACGCATCATCACCATCATCATCATGGCAAAGAAAAAAGACATAGTCTTACCAATATGACTGTACCACATCATACTAGGTATATGTTTTGATATTATTTCATCCGAGCGTTAATTTCCAATGGTGAAGTTTGCAGAACCCTAAAGCTGTCCATGTTTACTTCTGCCTGTGTTGTAATTTACGGGTTATCTTATAATGTGTTTTTTCTAGTGCTCATAGGTATTCAGCTGAAATTGCAGAATCCACAACTGGAAGTCATGTATCTTCCTCCGGGGCCTCAGAAAGGAGCAAAAGAACGGTACCCGCTGTTCCAGCTGCCGACCCTCAACTACCAGCCACGTTTATGGCTTTATATCCTTACAAGCCTCAAAAATCTGATGAGTTGGAGCTTAAAAAGGGCAGCTTCTACCTGGTAACGGAAATGTAAGTATTGTATGAAATTTAACATATTCGGAGCATCGGCGTCGAAGCTTTGGAACGGTCAGTTTCATATGCAATCGTTTTTTCTTTAGTTGTCAAGATGGTTGGTACAAAGGAACATCTAACCGCACCCAAAAATGTGGAGTGTTTCCCGGAAACTACGTCACTGTACTTAGAGGCTCGGCCGGAGAATTTTCTGCTGGTTTTCCTGAAGGCAGAATGCCTGTAAGTTTTACGAAGGGCACTAAAGGGGCACGCAATCGTCCAGCTGATTCCGCACCTCCAGAATTGCCCCCTAGATCGTCCACTCCTCCAACCAATGTTTGGCACGTTGACTCGCCTCGCACTAATAACGCTACTAACTCGCAGCCTAAGAGTGATAAGGTTTGTTTGCTGCTTGCTCAACTGCTCAATTCGTTTGCGGTGTGTTTGACTTGTTTGTTATTGTTTCATACATTTTATCTGTTTCAATCAAGAATAAAGAACGCAAGGAAAAGAGTACGGTGAGTTTGATGCGTCGCCTAGCAAGCATCAAAAGGTCTAAATCTCCGCCGACGTCTTCTTATTCGATGGATAATCCAGTTTTTGAGGACGCGACGCTATCAGCTGCCGGTTTGACTACTCCAGTTCATCCTGTACATGTTAGGTATGAGTCTTGGTTTTATTTCATTTCCTGTTTGTTTGGGAATTTGCTTTAATATGTTGGCGTTATTTGAAAATAAAGGGCAATTTAACGTTTACCTTCCGCTAAGATGAGTGGGTAATTAATTTCAGCTAAGAGACTATAATACAACTAGTTTTTGATTTGCGGATCTAAAATAATTAATAAAAAATCGCCTAGACTGTTTCATTGGATTTACTGTTGTACCATCGTTTAAAACAATGAAAGACGTGTTTTGACAAGGCTTTAAGAAGATTCTATCGGCTCTGAAGAAATACCTGCGCTGTGCATAGATAGCTCTATCCATAGAAATCAATTTTCATCAGTGTGTTATTGGTAGTTAAGACCAACACTCGTTTGCATTGTGCGTTGACTTCTTGCATGATTTTGCGTGTGTGTTTTGCCCTCATTTAGGTCAGGGTCCTGTCCGAGCCAGCTGTTGCAGGTGCAGCCTTCCGTCGATTTTCACAGGTTCTTCGGTTCCGCCTCGCATCGAGTTAAGCATAAGGAGAGACCGTCCATTTTGAATCATAGTACAAGGTGTGTTTGTTTTTCGCCCTGTTACTGTAGCAAAATCGCAACTACTTAATACCTGGCCGCGCCTAACTTATCATTTTCATTTTAGTTTCGGAGTTCAATTTGTTTTGGGTATTTTCAGGTTTATGTACGTAGTGTAGAAGGGCATAGGGAATCTCTTTGTGGTTTAGAATGATTGCTATCTTTATTTTATTGCTTTATTAGTTCTGTAAGTTTGTTTAATTTTTTGCCATTTGTACTGTTTGTTGCTTTACTGTACGTACTGTTAAGTTTTGGTACTTGTTATTGGAATGGATTTTTTTCAGCTTTCACACATTTATAGGTTTTTGCCGCAAGAAAACTATTTTCTACAGGTAATTTTCGAGCATGTGACTTATAATTTCAAAGGGAACCTGTACAAAAATGGAAACCGATTGGCTTTGGTTTACATTTAGTTTATTTTGGTTATTTTTGTCAATGGATTTGATTTGTAATTTTCATTTTGAATACACTAATAATAACACGCATTGGATGAGTAAACGGGTGAAGAATTTTGGGGTTGATTGTTGTGAACATTTGCAGGTCTACCGAAACGCCTCAAGGAGGCAGTTCGGGTTCCAGCCCTGATGTTCATCGACACCGGAAATCCCACTCGTTGGATGCCACTGGCTTGAAAACCTCGAGAACTGGAAGTACTCAAACTGTGAGGGAGCGATTCAGGTGCATCACTCCATATCCTCCTAATAGCGACTACGAATTGGAATTACAGGTGAATAAAACAACTTTTTTTCAGTCATAAAACTTGTTCTAATAACTAGAGTAATATGCTGATTTCATAATTGATGATAAACATAAACTGCTGGATTTTCATTTACATCAAGGTGTAAAGTATTGCTCATGTGATAGAAACACAATTCAAAGGTTTGCAGTTAGTGAAGTAATTTTTTGTTTGAAAATTTTCAGTTGAACGACATTATTTACGTGCATAAGAAACGGGAGGATGGCTGGTTTAAAGGTACGCAACAACGTACTGGTAAAACTGGTCTGTTTCCTGCCAGTTTTGTTGAATCATTTTGAGATTTCACTGTACATCGTTAAAGATCTTGCCACCGTCTCATACGAGATGTAAAACTCGACTTATAGTCTAGATTCTCTAAAACTTTAATATTGATGCATTTAAATGTCAGTAGTAAACTTAAACAGGGACCCAAAAAGCGGCCTTAAGAGAAGTGGCAATACTTTGTTTGAACTTAATTTAAGGTGGCAATGCCTTTATTGGTTAAGATAAGTTAGATTAGTTAGAAAAGGGATTTGAAGGTAACTGACTGATTTTAGGATAGTCAGTTGTGAAAGGCTTTAAGCTTTATTTAACATATTCTGTATTAATCGAGATTTGAAATCTTGTCCGTGGCTGAAATGCTGTGTTACTTCAGTTTGAATTTGCACACTAATAAGCTCTGTTTTAAGTGAAATCGAACAACAAACTCTTACACGTTGTTGAAAGGCTAAATTCTGCAATAGTTAGTAGTAGAGTTGATCTCTAAAATATAATACCGTACGGAGGAATACTATTTTTATTTTGCCATTCAACTGTTTAACGATGCAGCGCTAAATATTGTGCCATTACTTACACTGTTGCAAATGTTCCGGTACTTAATTCTAATCGATATTGATCCATTTAAAGAAGTGTGGATTTTGTCCCACATGTGTACTTAGGTGGCTTAATTATTTATAATCAATGAAGTTAGCAAGAATGTCTTCACACTAAAGGTTTTAAATTCTTCTGCATATCTACGAAGAAGTTGTGGTTATTACAAGAAATTTTCTATAAAATTTTCTATTGAAATTAAGTTGATCAGAACTAGCGTACTGAACTCAGTTAATGAATAACTAACTTTAAATCCAACTTAGTATAGTTCATATATTTTGCCTTTTACTTAAAAGTTATAATCGATTTATTGTTTGGGAAATTTATTAGGTTGGTTTGGTTTGGGATACATGCGATGTGTTCATTGTAAATAACGTTCAATAGCTTTAGGTCCATTTAAAAGATTCCTATCGTTGTTACTTGTTATCCGTAGCCAAATATATTTAAAAATGTAACTAAGTAGTGGTTAAGTTGATTTTAGGTAATCTTTTCGACCCTTTGAATATTGTCATTTTTGATCTTGTGCTGCGGTTTTATAAACAATACACACCATAAAAGTTTATGAAAAATGTATCCCAATTAAATGGAAATATAAATTTGATTAGTTTTCACATTTTACGGAATAATTGCTGATGTTTTTATATACATATCTATAACCTACCATGCACATCATGTGCAATTCTCAAGGGTCGGTCGTTAAGAAACTATTAATTAGAATTGATGTTTTTGTTTAGTTAACTATATTTATTGGTCTCTTATTTATTGAATACCATAGATAAGTTTTTTAAGTACATATTTCTAGAATCTTACAGATATTAGCTAATACTTACCCGTATGTTTGCCGGTTTAATTTCTTTGTATTTTTCAGTTTCACTTGAGGTTGTTTTTGAATCCTAACAATATTGTTAAGTTGTAGCTTAACATGTTCGGTATTTATTTCATAACGTATTTGATTTGATAACGTAAACTTATAGTATTTAATCTGAAGGTAAGTTAGGAAATAAAACTTTGTATATACATAGTTGTTTTTTTCTATTGACCCTTTCATGTCCAATTTAGAACAGCTATCTTTGATGGGCAATCTGCCTCTGTGCAAGCTCATCAAACTTGACAACAAGCTACTAAAGTACAACCATTTCATAAAACAATCAAAATCGCCCAACACGCTCCAGTACTGACTACTGACTGAAACATGTGTGTATAAACAATTGAATATTGTTAATAATTGCACGTTAGGGATATGTTGAAATGCTTATTGGAGTTACTGCTTGCTAACGTTGTTTTTGTCGTGATTATATGGTTTGTGTAATTACTTTTTAAAATGTGTCGTTTAGAACACGCAAAGCTATTCCTCGCGAAGTTATATTTCATATTTTCATAACTGGAAACTGTAAAAATTAACTAGCAAATTTAACCGTACGTGATAAAACCCTATCTATTGAGCAAAATCGTATTCAAATCGCACTTGGATGCGATCAGCCCAATAAAATTATCACCAATTTACAGCAAACAGTTTAGTAGAAAGACTGGCGCATCGCATTTCGCATCGACAGCGCTAATTCGAACTTGACCGAAACCGATTTTTTTTGATTTGATTCGTTTTCCAGTTGAGTCCCAGTAGTTTATGAACAATGAGCGGTTCATCAATTAAAGTTAGTGCTAATCAACCAGAACTGATCGAACGCAACAATACTGGATCGGCATCTCCGGATCAGACTGGGACGATCGGATTGAATAAATGTGGAGTTCAGAACAAATTTGAAAAGCAGCATTCTCTGCAGGATTTGTTGGACAAAGAAGCCAAAGAAACAAAAATTGTAAGATATTAATTAAATTAACTATTTATTCAATGCTGAGCATCGGATGGTCAAAATGTAAATCTTACTGACCTCTGGATGTGGTTTTTATGCCGCAGGATTGTAGTCACTCAACTTATCATGAGCTTACTCTACTTATTATTTAATGTTTTCCTTAAGCCAGGGTTGATAATAAAGAAACTCATTAAACGATCATGCCTATTAACGAGGTTGACAAATTGTTATCCACTAGTCGCACTTTGAGCATTCACAGTGATTATACACAATTGGTATTTAACTAATACAATTTATATATGTTGGCATTAGCTTCTGAAGGCTGCAGACAATTTTTATCAACATTTTTATTGCGAACAACCGATTAATTTGGTTAAAAATGCTCTATTGGACACATGTTGCTTCAGTTTGTTTTTCTTGAATTTTGATAATCATCTGGTTAGTTTTATTTAAAACTATTTATATTTTAGTGTATTTACACTAAATATATATTTATACACATGGTTTCAACGCTCTTCATGTAGAAGTTTAAACGAGTATATTTGTTGCCAAACTAGGTATCGATGTTCAGATGCGATATACAACACTGGGACATCGAGCACATAATTAAGAAAAAACAGTTGAGATTAAAATTAAATTTTATCAGCTATTTATAGCCGAATGTTGTGTTAAATTTAAATTCGCCGGTTTAAGGAGAAACGGGTGTTTGCACCTTGATGCACTTAGCTGATCAAATTAAATGTAAGCTGCATAATAATGCATGTAAATACGCCTAAAATAATAAACCCAACTTCACTAATCATATATCCTGTTGAAAATGTAAGTTCATATCAGGCCATGTGAGATATTTCATTAGCAGCAGCTAAGAATACCTACTAATGAATTTCGCAGAATTTTCTTATCTACGAATTTAGAATTTCCGGGATTTTGCGAAATATTTCAAAAATGTTCAGCTGTGATATTCTATTCACTATTCTTCTGTGACTATTTAAAAAAAAATTTGTTTTCGACAGTTTCCAATAAACAATTTGATATTACAAGTTGTAATTTCGTATTTTTCAATTTAATTTCAATGTTTAATTTAGATTAATAAATGTACTTTGGACTAATTTTACATCAGTTTCAATTGAGTTCACCTCGTAGATTTGCCAAAGATCATATCGATATGTATTCATGTGTTAATAATAAGGGATTTTCCAATATGCATTGTGTTGGGCATTCTAAAAATAAATAATCAAACCCATCAAGCGCATGCAGGAGTTACGAAGAATCTGGTGCTTTACAATTGATTTGTTCTTTTTATCCAAGCTTTTATTTATTTATACAATTTATTCAGTTCTTTTTTCGTTCAAAATATTAATTATTTGAGTTGCACTAGGATGTAAGTATTTTATTGCAATCATGTGGGGGAACAATAATATTTGGAATTAGAATGAGCTGGTTTCATATTTTTAAAGATTCCCGATTGAAATTTATCAGTTCAGTACTTATTTATTTATGGCATGTTTAATGTGGCCCTCATGTTCTGGAACATGAGCAGATTCTTATTTTGCATGTAAAGACGATTGAAAGAAACCTGATACTCACCTGTTGAAATTTCTATACTCTAGAAAAACTAGATAGAAGTTTTATTTGTTTTTAGCTTCTATTTTTTCCTGAAGTCTGGAAATTTACCAACATGTTTTCTTGGGTTGCATATGAGACAACTCTATATTTAATTGACTTTGCATTTTTTTTTGCTCTCTTGCTTATTTTCGTAGCATAAAACAATGACCATCATATGTAGAGAAGCGAAATCTGGTTTTCTCGATGGCCAAGGGAGCCAATAAATATTCAGAAATAAGGAGCGCGCCCTCAGGTTGGAAGATAATACGCGGTCGAATACGCGGTCGAAGGAAACTTCGTCCAATATTTTTTCTAATTGCTCCTCTAAAAAATGTTAATAACCATCCCTATCAAGGGGACTAACCAGTGCAAAAGTACCGAACACCCGATTATTTGTGGATTGTGATATGCGTTGTATGTATTTCTGGATTATTGTCTACCACATCTAGAATATCTTTTTCACGTTCCATATCGAGGGCGTGTTTCGCTCGTTTGAACAAAATTTCACCATCATTTTCTAAAAAAAATCAAATGTTCTGAAAGTCTATTTTTTCATGATTACGTAAGAAATACGTAAATCAAAGCTTCGAATTAATTCATCTGTGGTAAGAGGCGATTCATAGAAATTCGCGATTGTTTTACCTCAATTTGAATCAGCTGGCAACGATTAGATAAACTACTAATATGTCGTTGATGGAAAGATGTAGGATGAAAAATAAATATCTTGAGGATTGAATCCATGCTGGATAAATCAGTGAAACTGAAAACATCTGTTCTAAAAACTGGCAACTGGACTTTCCATAACAATAAAATCCTTTCAAGTCATTGCTGAAATTTTTCCCAATTGACGATTTAATTTAAGCAAACAGCTGCACAAAACAATTGAAATCTTGTCTGCCGAGTTCACTTGCAACAATACAACATAGCCAGCAATTAAAAGGTCATTATCCAATTGAACTATATTCTACAATCCATTACGTTGGCTCTACGAACTGTAGCGTTTAAGTGTGATTATATATATGTATAGCGTAGGTATTTTACAACATAGATTATTTCATATTAGCAGGATTAAATGTATAAGTTGGAAAATCGAAGGATAAACAGACGGTGTGAATATGAGAACGAGCGTTTCTGCCAGTAGTTTCGAGATGAAATACTATATACATTTTTTTTCATGGTTTTCATCGAATTCCCATTAGATTTGTGTATGTTATCCAGCAGGCCTATCATAGATTTATGCGAATAGTTAATAAAACGCGCGAGTATAAAGCATATTTATCAGAAACCTGATATATCAACAAAAATTAATTTAAGTCCTTATCGATAATCCTGAATTCCAGTAGCAAGTTATGCAAGGGGATTCAATTTTAATCCGATTATTCATGAAGTTGGAAACTAGATAGAGCGTCAAAAAATCTTTAAACCGAGGATTTACTACATTTTCAACAAGGCGGTGAAAGGATTCAAGCAACTACTCAAATAGCTACCGTTTGCAACCGTTGTCAGCTGTAGCAAGCTTGGGATAAAATTCCCATTTGCTTACATGTTTGAATGTCCCGATTTAACCATCCGCTCCAAAAGTTTTTTCATATATTGGAAGACACCCAAATGAGATTTTCGCTTAAACTATGCAGCATTGAACCCGTTCAGTTTTCATTGAGCAAATGCGATACTTTCAGTTAATCGTACATGCTTAAAATCCTTGTTTGCTTGTTCAAGCTGTTCCGGAACATATAAATTTCGCAAAGTCGATCTAATGGTTGCCTTTGATCCAATCACTAGTAGAAGATTATTCAAGTTTATTTTTCCGATAGAGTCGACCTTTGCAAACATATTAAAATGCCTAATCTAATGGCAATATTTCGCAGGAAATATTGCCCGAGAGGATGTAATTTTCTGAATAATTGATTGTTTTCATCTGGATTGGTTTACCTCAAGGTAGCATTACGGTAGTCGGTAAATTTTGATTGTCAACACGGTTTATTTTACAGCTACAATGAAAATATGCTACTAAATCTTCTGCACGAGGACACAGTTTTTTGGCTGATTGTTAATTTAAAAATAATTATGTTTGGGACAATTTGTTCGGTTTCGAACTGCCAGTATCTTGGACATGAAGAACGTTTCTTACTTCAAATAAGGACGTGTTTTGCATTAAACCTATTTTTGATCGATATTTTAGGGGTTTTGCCAACATCCAAAACAATTTTTTGTGAAAATGTGTAATTTTTTTAGGCATAAAGCTGTTTACATCTAAATACAGTTGAGTCCGGATACAACGAACTTGAAAAATGAACTAAAACTGGTTCGTTATATCCGGAGTTCGCTATAAGCGAATAATTATACAAAAACACGTGGTGTATTTTATTTCGTTATTTTTACATAGAGTAGTAGAAGTTAGTAGGTATGACTAAAAAGAACACAAAAAGATAAACAAAATT